GTAAGCATGTGTGCACACTCATATTTATACATTTAAGTATTAAATATAGGGGGCATTGCTGTAACAGGTGGTGACTTTCTCATGACAGTATGACTTCTGGCAGTCCTAATAGCTTCTCATATTCGTGCCTTTGCTTTCCGTTTCTCCAATTTTGCAATTTATTCAAACCAACTTAATTTTCACTTCTTGTAAAGTACCCCATCCTTCCTACAGTGTCTGGAAAATCTTCCCCACTGTCACAGCTAGTTCTGCGTGAAGTTCAGTGGTAACCTCACCCAGACGAGGATACCACCAAGGCGCCTTTGACATAGGCAGCAAGGGTGTTTTTAGGCATGTCCATGAAAATTCTTCTTTTCCCGGAGTTGCTGGCAAGGTTTTTAGCAACAGTGTGTCAGAGATGGGGTTTGCAATACTTGAGGGGTGCTGAGCTTCCCTCGGAGGTTAATACTAGCCAGCTTTTGTTCTTTTAATTGTAGAGCTACGCTAGTTTAACAAAGATCGCCTCCAGGACAGCAATTCCCATATTTACAACTCTTACCACAGAAAATGCACTTACCATGTTTATGAAAGTTACTTGAAGTAAATACAGCACCCTCAACTTTTGATGTCTTTTTTTTTCTATAATTTCAACACTTTTGCCCTTTCGCCTAAAGTTAACAGCTTGTAACTTTTGCTAATTATTTGTCATGACCAGCTCACAGTTCCGCCCATTCTCAGCTGGTTGGTTTGGTCCGTATTGCTCATTTTATGCATTTTCTTTGAATGCTTCTTTCAAACTTTTTTTTTTTTTACATTTTGCAATGTATGAAGCTGGAATTGATTCACATGACATTGCTAGTAATAATGTTGCAAGTAGCTGACAATCAGTATTACTCATAATTAAGTGTTTGGACATACATGAATATGTACATTTCTCAACTTTTTTAAAAGAATTTTTTTTTGCTGATGTCTTTTTATAGTCATTCTTCCTTTCATTTCCACCATATAGCTCAGAAAATTTGAGGAATTCTTTTTTCATTTCTTTTACAAAAGCTATCAAACAATAGAAAACCTCATAGTACCGTTATGCACTAGTATGGAATTTTCTGTACCCTGACCTTGGAAATATTAATATTCATTGGGTGTGTATCATGTGCGTAATATATTTATAAATATACATCCATTAATATATTTATATTTTAAATGCTATCACGTTCTACTTCACTAACATATTTCTGTACACTTGGTATGGTGTTATATAGTTATACAGGAAAGTACATTTCTATTTGTACTTACAAATGTATTTTTATCTTTTGTTCTAGGTTATGAACTGTAATTTCCAAAGGGGGACATAATATACCTCCTTTGTATAAGAAGCATGCTCCATTCCTTTAAAAGTCTGTGTATTTTTACGTCACGCTGTACGTTAAAGGAGCAGTGATTGAAATCATTGTTGTCAAGGAAGAATGTATTAAAATTATTAATAAGACTTAAACCCACATGAGAGTTACTGAATCATCTGATCTGACCTAAATTTATGACCCTTCCTCCCAGTTCTTCTCTTTGCATACTTGCACAAAGACAGGAGGATCGAAAGCAGTAAAAAGCAACACAATAAAGACCAGTGCAAACTGTATATTTGCATTAGGTTGATGTAACATTTTGTGATTATAATAATATAAACAAATAAACTATAAGGGCATTCACATCAGACCTCATTTCAAGCTGAACTATTATAAAGCGATTAACAGCCTCACACTCCTGCTTTAATTAAGTTATGTTGTGAAATATTCAGCATTTGAACCTGTTCTGGCCTGCCTCTTTTATCATTGAATTACCATCCTTAATGTGTTTTCTGCTGAAAGATGAATTTCATTTAAGGATTACTGTACACTGCTCTGGCATTTTGTGGTTTCTTGTCAGCCCTTGTGAATCTAGATCATAGCTAACTTCAGTTCCTCTGACATGTCCTATATGCACAGTCTCTTGACTAGCCTGTCTCGGTGGATTTATTAACTCATATTGTATTCCTGTAGAAATGAATGGACATTTTTGATTAACTTAATGATAGAAATTTCAGATGACAGTAGAGTTTACTTTTGGAGCTTACTTCAGGTTATGTAGGCCACCGCAGCTCTCTAGTGACCTATCATTTCACAGAAATGCGTTTTGAAAGTTTCAAGGCAGTGGACGTCCATCTGCCAAATACTTTATTTAAGATGGTGCAAGCAAGGAGGGAGTGGAATGGCCTTTCAGATCTGGGGTGCCTAAATTCTCAGCCACCCCCGGTGCTGCTCTTTCCTTTCCTGGGGTTGATTTTCAGCTGTTATATTCCAGACTCTGCCTTCAGGCAAATTTGTGCTATCAGGTGACTTTGAAGAAGGGTCAGTGAGTAATGCTCCAGCCAAGCATTCCACTCCCGTCCTTTCTACTTGTGCCTACTCTGGACCAAGGTGATGCAAATCAGCCAGGCATCATCAGTTTTGGTGGTGCTTTTTTTCCTCAGTTGTCTGGCCTGCTTTTAGGAGGGGAGGACAGAAACTCCTGAAGAAGGCCCTTGCCCTGGCAAGGCAAAGGTCTGCTCAAGCACAAAGGTTAGAGTGGCGCGTCTTTGGTTTCCAGCATGGTAATTATATGCTGTAAATTATACTCGGCTCTGGCACTGCTTGCAAATATATGTGGTAATTTACTTGTGTAAACATAGTCTAAGGCCCATGCTGTCCTCTGTACTGGACAAGCACAGCACGCGGATTTTTACGCCCAGAGCTCTCGGATGAAACAGGCAAAGCAGAGCTGCAGAGAAGGATGTGGTGTTCACAGTGAGGGATCCATGGCTTGTGAAACACGTGATAGATAAACCCCTCTACTTGTTAACAGGTAGGGTCATAAAAGAAAGACAAGCAGATTTAGTGAAAGTGTTCTAAGATGAAGGTCAGAGAAGAAGCAGGAGAACATGTGGGATTCATTCAGGAGGGAGGAAAACACTGGGCAAATGCATCTAGCACAAAGGGAGAATCACAACGGAGATCAACCTTTTTGCTGTGTGGATCCACTTCAGACTGAGTTTCTGAGCTGGCTCTCCCAGCCATTCCTTTTCCCTGAAGTCATAGATCAGGGAGAAGACATGAGGTCAGGAAGGGCTTGGTTCTCTTCATTGCACAGGTCAGAGCTCTCAGATGTGAGACACCGGGATGAGAGAGGAGGGCAACCGTGGCAGGGTCTTTGTTCCCCTTTTACGAGCTGTGGTGTGGCAGCTTTTGCAGTTGCTTTTCCCTGCTCTGGCCAACACTGTCCCAGCTGAAGATGCCTTCCTGCTTTCATGAAAGCATTGGCCGCCCTAATTCTTAGGGAGCAACTGCATATGGCAGGTGTGTAAGATATGTTTGTGTTGTAGGCAGAAGAAAATGGAGGCCTTGTCCTGTCCTTGTAGCTGCTGCACGTTCCTTAGAAGCTGTTATCTATGAAAGTCTTTTAACCCCAGAGACTTTGGTGTGGGAAATTCAGACTGTGCATGTTTTACCTAAAATTTCAGATGACATTTCCTCATTTTAAAATGCATAAAATCATTTAGGACTGATGCAAATGAAAGCTGGCGTTAAAATGAAGTTTCCTATTGTTCTGTTGTTCCTGGAAAAGAGTTGGAGAGAATTTCCAGTGTGTGTTCTTACTTTCTTAACTCACCTAAAATCAATCCTCTCCTAAGGCAGTTGCTCAGAATAGCAGTGTGCACGTCAGGATTGTGGTGTTGGCACACTGTGCTAGTTACGGGATTCCTTGTAATGCGTAAGAACAGCTGAGGAAACGTGAACTGGAACACAAGCAAACTGAGCTAAATCTAACTTTCCTAAGTGGGGCTGGGGGGGTGGAGGGGATTGTATCTGGTGCTTTTGGGATCTCTTGTAAGAATATAAGCTCTTTGTTTCAGCAAAAAGGAAAAGCAAAACTATGCAAAAGAAGGTTTGGATGCACATATCTTAAATTAGAGGTTTGCTATGGATAGCTTCATGGGCGAGTTCCAAACATTTCAGCCAAAGTATTAAATTTTCTTGAAAGAAAAGGCATGTGCTAGACCAGCAAAAGAGTTTTTCCTCTGCATTAAGTAGAAGTGATTGGGAAGAGCATGCCAGTGCGTTGTAATGATATAACAATATCACCGGTCCCTTCCTACTCTAAAGAGGAGTAGCATCTCATGGGAGAAAACGAGTGACGCAAAGGTCTTGCAAAAATGAAGGGTTAAAAAGTTTGCACTTCAGTGGGAGTATAAAAATAATGCTTCTCATCATCAGTTCTAGTTAAGGATAAGGGGTGTTTAAACTGTGTACTATGATCTATCTGAAGTCTTGAATTCTGCTCAGCCTGTATAAAGAATTAACATGAAAAACATTAAATGGAAATTCTGACTGAAACAGGGAAGCACAAAACACACCCAAGCAAATGTGTTTAGAGCAAACCAGGAAACTAGGTAACTGTGTCAATAAACTAGCTTTATGCAACACACTAAAATACACCTTATTTACTCTGCCTCATCTACAATTCAGTTAGCAGCACAAGGTTATTTTAATACTATACAGAGATCAGAGACTATAAAGTGCTTGTGGGTACAGGTGCAAATGCTTCTCAAAGAGAGAGAAATACAAATACTCGTTCATGAAATTCTCGGGAAGCTTTCTTTTTTTAATCAGCATTGCCATTTTATTGTTTAACCTACCCTGCTTGATCTCCCTACTTTTGGTTAATACGGGAGTCAATTACAGCTTCATCTGTGCAGAATTAACTTTATAGAATATACACCAGGGATTTGTCTATCTCCTCTATTTAGATCTATGTCATAAAAAAATATGTAGTCGAGAACTGTGTGCAAGCACTGCATATGGTACAGGCTTTGCAGATTTATTGTAAAATCATTTTAAATCGGTTAAGCTCTTGCCAGAAGTTAATTAAATATGTTCCTTTGGTGGGGGGTGGGGGGACTCTGTGTGTATGCGTGTGTGTGTGGGGGGGGGGGCCTTCTGCCTCACTAGGTGGCAGTGTCTGATTACATCTGGAAGGACCACGCCAGCAAGCCTGGTGTCTCCAGCTGTGACCTCCAGCGCCAGGATGAAAGCCTTGACTCTGCAGCTACCTGGAGAGGTGGCACCACCGTTCACATCTCTGTCTACACTGTTCACCTCAGCGGCTTCCAGGAGCTCTACAGGCACTTCCTCAGGCTACCTGATGGGGCTATCGTTGAGGTAGGTCCAAGCAGGCTCCTCACCTTGCAGGTTTTTGAAGGCGAAGGTGTGTGCTTCAGAAGTAGGTCAGTATTGAAACAGGAAAATAGTCCTGCCTGACCCTGCGCAAAATACACACTGAAATCTTCCATAGGAAAACCTCACTCCTAAACAGAATGTAAAATCAATGAGTTAATGCATTTGCAGTGCAAAGTACTTATTCAGAATTATTTATAGAGCCATATAAAGGCAATTATGTAAGATATACACTGAAACTACACACGTAGAGATTATTCATAAATATGTATTGCTTAGAACTGTATACAGTCATTCTGTACAGGAATTATTATATATATAAATATACAATGTAAGTATTGTGCACATTTATTTTACAGCTAGTACTACAGGTATGGTCGTTCACTTAGTTCTTCCTCAGATACACAGAGCTAAGGCACAGTTAGATTACTTACTGGCATCTTTCAAGTTTTAGATTGAACCCTGGATGTTGTCAGGTTTTTAGCAGCTTGTGCACTAAAATAAAATACAGGATAAGATTAAAAAGAAATATTGCCCATTACTTGTTTCATAGGCTAAGTTTTGTTCCCTTGCATTGTCATTTTTGTTCTGAATGCTTAGAAGAAGTGCATTTTCTTGTTGCCTTTGGTCTTGCGTTGAGAGACCTCTAAAAATATTTGGCATCTAAGAGAAAGTAGAGTGAAAGAACATTACCTACCCAGATAAGAAGTGGAAGCATCATCATGGAGGTCTGTTTACCATAGAAAACTGGCACAAATGACACTGAAGTGCAAAGTTTTCAGCTGTTCACTTCTAAGGTGAAGGTTCAAGTATGTCTTTCCAGCATGAGACAAACATTGCTTCTGCTCCTTTGGTTATTGTTTCAAGACTGTTTTCTTTCTTAAGAGATTTTATTCTTGATGTCTTTGCCCTACTTGGTTTTTAAAAGAAAACTTAATTTAAAGGAAACTGTCCTCAAGGAATCCAAATGTAATTCTCTGCCCCAGGAACTTGTGATTCACCAGAGTGAAGACAACAGAGTCTTAGAGCTGGCCAAAGAAAACAAGAGAAGGCATGTGGCCTACATGAAGCAGAGCTTAATTATTGAAACAAAGAAACCAGCAAATCCGGGTCCATGCTGAAGTCTGTTAAAGATTGTCGTATTGGCTAAATTTTTGCTAGAACACCTTTTCCCTGTTTGAGGTCCACAGTGCAGCACCATTTCTACTTTTTGCCTGTTACAAATGGTGGTCTTTGCAGAATAGTTTTTCCCAATTAAGTTCTTTTTAGCTTTTCAGTCATGAGGTTTTGTTCAGCTTCCAAACAAGCTGAAGGAGGGGCTTTGAACACAGGAGGCAATCTTAACCCAGTGCACTGGTGCAGTTCATTAATCCCTTCTGCATTTGTGAGAGAGGAGAAACGCGTTTCCATGCAATGTAATTTTGTCTTCCCAGGTGAGCTTCTCGGAAGCTTCCTGCTTGCAGACTGATGCTGGTCAGCATCCACAGAGTGAGTTAGCACTGCGTAATGCGGGTGGCTCAAGCCAATTCTGTACAGTTTCCCACAGCAGATCACAACATAGTCTGTCCCTAAAATCTACATGGCTGAGTCTTATATCATCATCTTGAAAGCTGCATGTCTAGTTTAGGAGACCAATGCACACTTTACAGCATTTTTACTTGTAGATCCAAGTACAATTACATATAAGAAATGTGCTTAACTAATAATTGCAGTAAAACTTACATACAGATCTTACATTTAGCTGATAATGGATGTAATTATACATTTGTGTATTTTGTAGGTCAAGGCTTTCTACTTCAGTTCCAAATTAGGTATATTCTATAAGTTAATGAATTTTAAAACTCTACACTGACTAGTGAGAAGTTTGCTGCCATGGGGCAAATACACCTGAGCTTTACCCCTTGCTGCTGTTGCTGCCCTTCAGGAACAGGTTTTTTTTTGTCTCTGCTGCAGGTAGACAAGCAGTGGTATTGAGTAGGGTTAGAAAATCATTTTGGAGCTAAAAGGTTGTATCGCAACCTTAAGTGTATCTTTTAAGACTGTAGGAAATGATGACTACATGGGCTTCTTGGGAAAATGAAAAATCTGTCTCCTGTCTGCTTCTTCTGTGGGCAGCTTATTACATATAAGTATTTTGACTCTGAGTATTTAGAGCTAGTCCTAAAGATTCAGGTAGTTTATTTTACCACTATGTAGCCTAATTTAGGTTTTTTGTTTCCAGTGATTCCACGGAAAGATTTTTCCAGATCCTTACAGTCTATTTGATCAGAAGACTTCTCTTATTCTTCAGCCTTACTTTATTAACTATCAGTTTCTGTGTATTTATTTGGATCACTCTTTAGTGTAAATAAGACTCTCTCTTCCAGAAGTTTACTTACCTACATAATCTAATTTCAAAACCTTATCCATTTTCTGCCAGACACAATGCTTCAGCAGAAGAAACAAGACGGGGTCCAGTTTTGCTTTTCATTCCCCTCCTCACCCTGCTAGCAGTGGTGAAGGAAGGAAGGCTCTTCTTCCATGGTGGTGAGGACAGAGGTTGTCACCTATCCTCTCCCTGTGGTAGGAATGACAGCTGCCTTTCCTCTTTCTTCATGATCAACAAGCCTCTATCATGAAATGCTGTCTCGCAACTGTGCGAACATGGCCTGTAGGAACAGAGGAGGTCTGTGGCAACTGTGATTTGTCCTACCTTTGCATATACATCTGCCTTGTCTGCAGAGTCCAAAGAGCAAGAAAACAACCAATTTTCACTTCTTTTTCCTCTTTTTTGGGTGGGCTAGTGCTATTGTACAACTGTAGAATGCAAGGAGTAATTCAACAGCATCTAGCAACTTCTTCCTGCAAAACAGTGGTGCTTTTTATTACAGTAACCTACCAAGGGTGAAAATGGAATTATTTCAGTGTAACTTTTTGTTTGTTTGTTCACTTTTATTAAGAAACTGGAAAGGCATGTAACTGAAGAGAACAAAATGGAAAGGCTTTGACTTTTTAATTTCTGGGACTTTCAGGAGTCATACTTGGAAGAGCTATAACATCTATTCTTAATTACTGCAGTAGGACCTCATTAATTCAAATACTGGGGACTAAGATCTCCCCATTGGATGTGTAATACTTTGTGCCATTACAGCATGACGGTTGCTGGTACTGGTAGGTGTTCTTCAGAAATAATATGTATGATAAGAGGAAATGAGTAATTTGGTAGAAAACAACACAGAAATGGCAATAACTTTAAAAGGTGTGTGCAAATATAGGCATTGTTGAAAGGTATCACCAGCATGAGCTGTAGGTTCTTAGCATTCCATTAACTGAGGTGTGTGGACGGGTTAGTGAGCTCTGGGTTATTGGGGTGGCAGTATATCTCTCATCACTGTATTTAAATCACTGGGCCAAATTCTTCCTCCAATTCATGTGTTCACCTCCTAGTGACTTCAACCTCAGATATGTTTCTGTATCTGCAGGTATTCTTTGACAGGCATAGGAGGAATTTTACATAATCTTGCTTTAAAGTCCTTGGATGCTCCTAAGGAATTTATGTTAAATTCAAAACCTCATCCTAGTCTTTTTTACTTCTGTGAAAGCAAGATTTTCTCACAGCCCTAATTCAGCAAAGCACTTAAGTGTGAACTTCATTTAAGCCAAGGAGCCAAAACACTCACTTTGATAATACTTTCCTTTTTTTTTTTTGAGAGTGAGTAAGGCCAATTTGTAAGTGCTGTGTGCAGGAGAACACTAGCCAGAAATAAATGTCTCTTTATACAATAACTTCTTTAAAATAATTATTTCTTTAAATATAGTATTCCCATTAAAGGTCCACCTTTGCTGGTATAACTAGAAATTTCATGTCTGGTATGAAAAGCAGTTTTATAGGTTTCATAAGCATGAGGCAAAAATAACTGTTTTAAAAGGAACATTAAGTACAAGGTGACATGTATAAATTACCCTAGAAATGTTAAAAAAAAAAAAATTCTTTTTAAAAGTGCAGCATAAAAATTATAGAGGTTAAACTTTTAAGTGCAGTCCTTTTATCATAAGCATTGTAAAACTCAAAGTATTCACATGCACTAAAACCCATTTTCCTTTTTACCTATAATATATTTCTCCTTTATAGTATTCAATTTAGGTGTTGGCTAACCAAGGAATGACCTTCCCAAAATAAATCACTTTTCATGCTTCCCCTTATTCATTAATCTTATGTTATTGTAATATACAGGGAATTATTGAGTTTTAGCATTTTAAATGTATTTGAAATCCATGCACGGAAAAGTTAATGATAGTGGTACATGTTTGCTGTCTACATGGTGATAACACCAACTTGGTGATTTTTATCTTGACTTCTGCTGACTGGAGTTGATTTCTTATTAAAAGGGCAAAGATAAGTCACTTTAACTCAGCAAAAAATCAGTTTCCTATTATAGGTCTAGTAAACCTCAGCATTGTAGAGGAAGTTTTTGTATAGCATGATTTTATCTATCAAATAAGCCTACACAAATGTCAAGGATTCATCCAATTTAAACTTACTGGATAAAAGAGATCTGTTTTCCCTAATTACTTGAAAAGTACCTAATAGTAATAGGATAAGACAGTGTAGGTGACTAGCCAATTACTTAGTTTAAGCTATTTACATCAATCCATATGCTATAAATTATGTCTAAACTCTCTTGCACTTCTGGAAAAGTGAATAAAATCATACAAGTTTATTTTGAATACAAGATCAGATATGGTATGCTGAGTGACACTTAAAAAGAATGAAACAGTAACCGAGGCTTATTTTCTGAAGCAATCTTGACACTAATGCTAAATTACAGCTTGGAAACATCTAGCATTTTTACCTTTATGAGAAAAGGCTTTTTACATATTTAACATAATTCTAGGGAAAATATACTGGAATTATGTATAAAGATATGTACACTGTAACCAAAGGGCATTTATATTCCCCAGTAGAATACTTACAACAATTTTATTGCCATTTGGTGTCATTTTCTAACAGATATAAAATACAGCCAGTAAACAAACTAGACTTTAGATTTAAGCTGACAGCTGTTCCTTCAGAAGCAATATTCAGATATTTAATCTTAAGAATACTGAATATTTTACGAGTGTTTGAGCAAACTATACTTTTAGCATGTAAGGATTGTGTGCTTTTGTATACAGTTCTTGGATCTGATAATGACACTAAAAAACAACCTTAGAATAATCTATGTGTTTGTCGCTCCCATGTATTCCCTGGACAAATCAACAAATTGCCTCATGTTTTATTCTTAATTCCACAAATTCTTTTTATATATACAATATTACTCTGAATATTGGGCCCTATTTTTTTCCCGTATGTGCATAAGCCATACAGTTGACTCCAGTGCAGTTTATGCATGTATCTGAGTGCAGCTTTTTCTGGCTCTAACTTCATTAAGGGAATAAATTGGCCAAATTTACCACAAAAGCACTACATGCTGTTTTCATAAACAGTCCCACTGTAGTGATCACCAAAGATTTATGAAGAAGAGAAAGAGGGAGTACTGCTCCAGCTCAGTAACTGAGGTTGGTACACTACCTAATGGCTTCTTCATCATACGGCTTCATCATCTCACCAGACCCTTCAGAGGGAGCAGGAAAGCTCTGGTCTTTCCAAACCATGAGCTGGATCAGCTGAGGTGAGTGGGTGAGGACTTCTTGGGTGGGGAGAGGCTGGGCAAATGTAGTCATTTGGTGTAAATTGACCCACGTTAGTTGGCTTCAGCAGCATCATGCCAGGTCATCCACAAACACGGCCAGTTTACAAGAATTCAGTTTCCTGGAGATCCCTGTACAACTAGGGGTTAACAGCAAAGGTTTATTCTTTGCAAAAGTGATTCCACCCACATTAATGCATGTATGTGTGTACGTACTCCTGGGCTGAATATGCTTTGCCACAGGCTGTGCCAGAAACTCATAGAGCCATGGGGAAAAATGTATTTGCATCAAGAAACCAAGTCTTGCTTATCTGTGGTGGAGGCTGTGGTCTGATAGAAGGACCAGGAAAGTGATGAGATGGATCCACCACTGGGTCTCAGCAAGACACACAAGCTTTCAGATAACCAGAAAATGACTGAAATACCTACACTGCGGCATTATAACCTTGTTCTCTATATGAATACGCAATTTTAAATCAAGCTGGCTTCTTTTTAGTGTCAGAGAACACAGGGCAAGAAGCAAGGGTTACATACCTAGCCAACACATATACAAATATTTTATCAGCATGGATATTTAAATTTATTTTTCCATGGGGGCCTGAAGAATTAGAGATGTTTCCTTTGGATGTTCACGGAAGGGATGGGAACAAGTTCAAGTTCATCCATGCAGTCTGAGCCAATGCTCATGGGAGAAATGTTGTCATGTCACTCTAGTTGGACTGTATAGCAAACATCAGTGCTTATAATTAAGGGGTACTTTAAAAGTGCTATTTTGTATTGAAAGATTTCCCTTTCCATTCCAACCCACTTTAAACACCCAGGTTTGCTGTGTTTTCAGTTATTTTCTGAATGACTTTATGGTGCAAAGGTAGAGCGACTGGTTGCTGCAGAAGGTATTTTGTACTCTTGAACACTTGCAATCTTTATTCATCTATCACGTAGTTTTACTTGAATCAGCAGTAAAATCTCTGAAGTCAAAGGATAATTGCCAAAACAGCATTAACTTATTTTATCTGAATAAAAAAAATAACCTTTGAAAAAGTACCTTGCAGCTACGTAGATTGACAAAATGCATCAATTATATTTTTGCTCACTTTATAATTACACTGCAGTAAGCGCACAGTGAACTTTACTGCACGGTTGATTAACCATAAGGTTACTGCTATTAAGTCACTCTCAGAAACAACAACTTGGACTGTAATTTAAGTAACAGAACTGTGCTCAACATCTGATCAAGTCTAAAAATCTGACATGCCCATACAAGCTTCAATTTAAAATTCACAAGTAAATGAGAGCACCTTAAGTGTGTAGCAAGGGGTTTCTGTTGCTTTGGTCAGACATGCTGGGTATGTGAACTAACAGATTTGAAAGAGTTTTAGCATGTGTTAACCAACACCAATGGAAAGGATTTTCCAATGAACTCTAAATATTCCCTCTATCCTCTTTTTAGCATAGAAACAATTCTTATGAGGAGCGGCTGAGGGAACTGGGGTTGTTCAGTCTGGAGAAAAGGAGGCTGAGGGGAGACATTATTGCCCGCTACAACTACCTGAAAGGAGGTTGTAGTGAGGTGGGTTTTGGTTCCTTTTCCCAAGTTAGAAGTGATAGGACAAGAAGAAACAGCCTCAAGTTGTGCCATGGGAGGTTTAGATTAGACATTAAGAAGAGCTTCTTTACCGAAAGGGTTTTCAAGCATTGGAACAGGCTGCCCAGGGAAGTGGTTGAGTCATCATCCCTGTAGATATTTAAAAGACCTGTAGCCATGACACTTAGGGTCATAGTTTAGTGGTGGACCTGGCAGAATTAGGTTTACAGTTTGATTCGATGATCTTAAAGGTCTTTTCTAACCTAAATGATTCTAAGTTTCTTTGAAATGAGTGTTCCAATTTCCGTGAAATTAGGATTAAATCCCCAGGCATATCCTGATGACATTTCCACATTTTTTCTCAGATTATTGCAACAGGAAAAATATTGCTGTTTCTGTTAGCTCACTGATGCTATAGGTCCTCTTTTTGTCTTCTGTCTTCTTGACTTTGTATATTGCAAAGTTGTTGCTGTGAAGCCCTGCCATGATGTCGTATCTCTGTCTGGCCTGCCTTGGAGATTGTTTATGCCATGATAGAAACAGTCTAGGAGAATCTAAAGCTGGACTATCCACTATTGTAAAAAAATAAAACAAAAGGTAAAGCAGTAGGTGTTCTGTGTAAATGGTACCTAGATAAGAAGAAAGAGTAGCTTGGTATGAAGAAACTTACCTAGGATTTAAGATGCACAAGACCACTTCAATATTCACTCACAGTTTTTTACTTGAGGTAGGGAATATCCCCTACACTGCCTTTCTCCCTTTGTTCTAGAAGTAATAGCGCTTCTCAGCTTCACAGGGTATCAAACCCCAAAGTAGAACAAAGATTTGAAGATGCTTCATCAGACAGATTATAAAAGTACACAGAAATACAGTAGAAATTAGTGATTATTTCCATACATAAGCCAGTGTTTGTATAATTTATTAAAGCTGTGCTAAACCAGGTTGAGAATAGCAAAATTCATTAAAACATTACAGTATTACCGGAGCAATCTGCTTTTTCTGTGCTAACATTTGAGTAACAGCAGCTAGACAGAGCTGAGGCTCTGTTACTTCTCAGCATCCAAAATTTGATTTCTCCTCACATTCATCTGAGCAAATTTTCTCTTATATGGGCACTCCAGAAAGTGAAAATAATCAGAGCCAGGGCACTCTTGTGCAAAATGCCACCCACATGACACAAGCTGAGGATCTGACATGCGATGTGGTAACTGCTAATGAACTGAGCTGGATCTGATGCAGTGTCTTGGCTTTATAACCAGTTTCCAGTCCTATAACACATCATCTCCTCCTCATGGCCATGATTTTCTTCTTTGAAGGTCTATTCTTTATTCACTCAAATCTTCTCCATGTGTCAAGAACATCATAAGAAGAAATTATTAAAAGCAACGGGCGTAAAAATCCCTATTTGACTTTTTTACTAAAGTGTTTAGAGTCTGAGAAAAATTAGGCGAATTCACATTTCACATGTGTTTAAATTGCTAATCTCAGTGTTCTGTATTAGTGAATGCATTTACAGTAACTTTCACTTTATAATATTTTGGCAGAACTGTTAGAAAAATTGTTATAAGCCTAAGAGTGGAACTGAACCATGAAAGCTAAACTGTAAGCTGCTGCAAAACTGGGTTATTAGTATGACAGAATAAAATTTCACACACACAAAAGCTTCTAAGCTGCAATATTTTGAAAGCAAGAAAAGAGGGGTGGGGAAGTATAATCAAAGTCATCTATGTTCCCTCTGATAACCACTGAACGCTGCCATAATAATATGTTGGGTTTGTACATTCTGTTTTTCAGGCATTTGGTGATATCACTGGAGAAAGTCTTTTGTGTAACGAAATGAGCACAGCCCAGGAGCGCGTAAGCGAAATGGACAGCGTGCTGCATACATCTTCACCTATCAAGCTGAGGGAGAGGAAAAAGAGTACAGCAGGGCGGAAAGGTATTATTTTCAGTTGCTGTACCCAGCTGAAAAACAATGCTGATACCTGAGCATCAAACCATGGGAGGGCGAGAAGAAAGCAGATAATTTGAAAACAGTTTCTTTTGGAAAGACTAGGGTGAGATCGGTTAGGGCTGAAATTTCACAGTTGTGTTTTCCAGTGGGTCTTTGTCCTTGGGTAGTTTCATATGTCTGTTGCAAGAGTCCTGAAGGCTGAAGAGCTGTCATTCACCCAAACACTGTCCCACTGTCTGTTCAGAAACTCAGTACAGTAATGCCATCCAGAGCAATCTATCTGCAGCAAAGACCAGCATTGAAAGTATGCTGAGAGCAGGCTTGAATCAGATACTTTATATATAATTAGGTATGTCTCCACACATATTGATCTGAGCGTGAAAGTCCCAATCCCTCAGACTTGCACTGTGTTTTCCACTGTGTACTGAGAGCCACTGGCCCCCTCCCAGTGCCTAGAGAATTACATGCAGAATGAAACAAGCCCATATACATCAAGTTGCAAAGTGAAGCTGCTGCTGATCAAAGGTAGTATCAGCGTGTTCGATGACAAAGAACTATGGAACACTCTGGATGTCCTTAGATGTCACTGTTATTGCGAGATACCAATTTCCTCTCGTTCCTTATTCAAGGTATCAGTACCAGATCTGGCTCTACCAGATCCCTGCACTTGGCTGAGTCCTATCAGTGTCAGATTTCTGATACCCTCTGAGCAGTAAAGTTCAGTTAAAAGCACCTTGTGTTACTTTCAAATCCACCATAATCTTGTCTGCTCACACAGTAACCTTGGAAAGTTCACATGAGCACACAAGATGCAGTTTTTCAAAGGAAAATTGATAAATCTTGTGTATGGGCTCTTGCTCCTGTATCCCTCTTGTTGGATGAGAGACGTCATTGGTACACGGGCACCTGTGTACTTACCTCATGTCTTTCTCTACATCTTTTTTTCTAATCTTCAGGAAATGACATTGTCTCTGACAAGAGCTAAGTGCTGCAGTAACGCATAGTCCATAGACTTGTTTACAGCCCGATTCACATCCATGACACGGATACTGGCTGACAGGATTCACCGTTCTGATGTCCACACATGTGTGCATCCAGTGTTGTCCTGCAAATGCTCCGTTCATAGCTCTTCTGTGGCTTCAACAAGCTTTTCAGTGTGGTGAGCTCACTGGATCAGATCACAGATCAGATCAAGCAAATATGATTATTTTAATTTTTTTTTTTTTTTCCTTCCAAATAGCGGGACATTCCTAGATTTCTCAGGTTTGCTTATTCCTGCTTTTCTAGGTTTACTTGTACCTGCTAGTGGTGGTGGGGAAAATATTGCTGATTTGTATTTCAAGTTTCATGGCTAAAACATTGACAGTGTTTTCAGTAATTGTTCAAAGCACAACACTATTTTAATTACAAGGCTGCAAAGATGTCCAAGAAGAGGAACAATGATGGCTTCATTCCACCAGTTCTGGTGCCAAGTCCCAACAGGCAGCAAAATTTACAAGATCCCAGAGAAGATCATTTTGCTGGGACCTTAATGTTGGTTAGAGCTGCTTCCCTGGGAGCTACAGCATCTTAGAGCAACCTGGAGGTTATCCTTGTGCTTTCTTAGTAGTATTAAAGTATTGCTCATTAGTTGAAACCAGTCAGTGCCTATTCTATTTGGCTTCACACAAGTACCTAAGAACTAAAGTTCATGCCCCAAAGGTAAGGACTGCAAGAGAAAAACAGAAGGAGAAGGTGTGAAGGTGAACAAATGCAAGAAAGGTGAATTCATTTGTCCAAGGTCGCCAAAGTCAGAGGCAAATGCAGAAATAGAGGGCAGACTGCCAGTGCCCTGACTCTTGGTCTTCCCTGTACTAAGATCCTTTTTGTCCTGAAGATTCAGATGAAAAATGGAAAAGTCTTACCTTCCTGGTATTTTGAATCATTCATAGAGAATAATTGTAATCAATTAACATAGTAACCAGTGACATTTTTCTAATACATATGCTTTTCTGGTGTCCCTTTGTTCATACTGGTATGGTAAACTTTTTTCAGATGCATTTACCTTTGCAAGATCTTTACCTGTGTCTGGAACATTGTTGATTGATTTTTATACTTAAATCTATGGTTTTCATCCATCTGAATAATAATTAAATGACATTAGGTAGTAACCTGGACGTTTAGATATCACTCCTGAAAAAAGTTTTTCTTTGCTTTTGCAAGATAACAATTTGTTTTCCTCTTTTTTTTTTTTCTTCTTTTAATTGATTTGTATGCATGTGCATATGTGTGTGTTTGTACGTGTTACACCCAGACAGAAAAGGTGTTAAAAATCCTCTGAATATCTACAAGAACTGATGTGATTTCTGTGGGTTCTATTGCATCAGATATTACTTGGATGACTTCTTTCTGTCATAACAGGAATAAAGCCTTTTTAATGTTTGCTCTGCCTGTTGACGCTTTAACCTAATGTACATAATATTGAAAGAGAAACTATCTGAAGAGAAACTATCCAGTCTCAGAATTTTTCTGTGGATTTTTTCTACCCGAGTTGAGTCACACTTTTCAGGGATTACCCCAGCATCTGGAGTAATGCCGATTACCCCACAATGAGAGAATGACACAAGCAATGCAGTGGAGTCCACTAGGATTGATTGTGTACCTGACCTTCCTCTGCTATATGTTATGATGGTGATCTGTAACCTACTGCAACTTACAGAGGACAGTACCAAGAAGACAGCATGCTGTGGGCAGCATCATACCTTGTGCATCTTCTTGGCCTCAGTTTTGTCTTTGAATATGACTGAATGTAATGGTAAAAATTCCTTCTGGCAATATTGTATCCTAGGTTTCCCACAGAGTTAAGATATCCCAGTCTGGTTCTGTGAGATTTTGACTTCAGTGTTGGTAATATGCCATCATTTAGACTGATGACTTCACATGTAGAGCCACCACACCTTCAGTTCTGATAGGAATATGCTGATTTGTTAACAAATGTGGATCTTGTCCTGAGACTATGCTCAGCATGAAGGACTTGATTCACCACTTTTATTCCCTCAGTTATGTTGGCATGTCTCCACCGACTTTCATCTGATCTGGGATGTACAATTCTGCAATGGTACGTATTCTTGAAAGCTGAACTTAAAGTGTGCTTAAATATTAAGAAAATTTATCTTTATTTTTGCTTAAAGCTTACAATCCTACAATTTTGATTATCACATTGTGTGAGTTCCCCTGGTTGTTGGTTAGTATACATTGGGTGGCCTTGGCTTTGAAATTGTTTTCTGAAGTGCTCTTGTTGGCAATGTCATCCATAAGGCTCGGCTATAGTTGGATAGTAATTGCCTGTCTATGCAGTGTTCCTTTACAACAATTTTCTCCTGTGTAGCTATATATATGTAGTCATTACTGAAAAGTGTAAATAAAGAATCCTTTTAGTGGTGTAGTTTCCCTAGGTACCTACTGTGCTCTTATTATCTAAAACATACTCCCCATCTGTAGTTCTGTTCTATTAAAGGATAAAGACATAAGTATAAATTAAAAATTAAAATGCTTGTTGTAGATTGGAGAGCAAGGTCTATTAGAATATATCTGGCGCTAGGCTCACAGTACAGTAGATAGATTACACTGAGCACCAGTTAAGCAAGGGGATGAAAAATGAGTGATTTTCATCATTCAGTTAAATATAGTGCTAAGTGGTATGTGCTAGCATTAAAAGCAAATTACTTAGCACTTCACCAATCACAGCATGAGAGCATTCCATTGGAAGCAGTATTTCCAGTGATGCTCAGTCCCCGGTTTTATTAAATAAATCAGCTGTTAATGCTTAAAGGAAGCAGTTGAAGACTTATTGCTATGATAATAAAAAGATTGAAAATGTAAAAATAAAGAGAAGCAGTACCTCATTTTAATGAAATGCCCTAAGAAAACCTCCCTCTCTCTTAACAACAAAATTCCAAAGTGCTTGTAGATCTGTAGTATTTGCATCTCCTGTACCCTCTTTAGGTCTTTCTTTCTTACTAATGAATATGACCTTTCCTTTTTTTTTTTTTGACTTTCTTATAATGACATCTTTTTCCTCATAAATCTGCTGCCATGTCATTGAACATTTTGATGAGCTTTTCTGATTCCCTCTTATATCTCCTTGATAGGATATTACTATCCAGTAATCTAGAGATGGGAAGCCTAATCCTCAGCACAGGTACTTTTTGGTTGCTCAGTTAAAGACGATGGAGATGTGAGAGTTTACACCAGAAGAGGTTTTGACATTGAGGGCTACCTTTATATCACACAACAATGTTATTTCCTCTACAGCAATGGGCCTTGGGAGACACTCAAATCTTCTGTCTGAACGTGTGGAAGCTGTGAGAAGTCATAAACCTGTCTGAGTCTTAGACTATTCCTAGGCCTCTTCCTCCTAAACAGGAGTTTTATCTGTCTGGCAGGAGCCACACAGCAAAAGTCCTGGGAATGGCATATGCAGGAGATGGTCCAAGGTCTGAGTCACAGCTGCATCTTCACCAGCAAGATCAAACATTAAAAGGAGAGAAAATGACAGTTTGGGTATCAAAATTAGAAGATTAACGAGTCTATGCATGAAGCTGAATCCATGATTTTCCCCTTGGTGTCATTCTTTGAGGAATCCTATTTTGAGTGTCCTTTTCTGACTAGATTATAAAGCTGTTTTCTTTATAAAGAGGGTAGGACAAAGACCAAGGATCTCCGGTCAGTACATAATAATAGTATAATAGTAAAACAGTAAAATGCCACCTCTTCTGGGGATTTGTTGTAAACATAACAAACAGTTATTTTCTTTGGTCGGGGGAGGAAAGATAAGGGGTAATCACCTTAAATTTGTTGCAAATATTGTCTGTTTCTGGGTTTTTTTGGAGACAGGGCAAACAACCATACCTAGATAAGGGCTAAGCTAGATAGTTAATCTGTTTTAGTACAAATGTTGGCTGGAGATGTTTTGAATTTTCTTCTGGTCCTACGTTTCTGAAGATCTGTGAAAATTATGAGATCTGCTCAAAACAAGTACCTTTTCCATTTGTGCTTAACACTTTAGTGAAATCAGTGTAGTCCTATGCAGCAGAAGTCTTTCCACTAATAGTGTAAGATAATGATATTGGGCCTGAAATAGTATTTTGTAAACACTTGGCTTATTTAAAAAATGTTTCCTTGTGAAAAAAAAAAAAAAAAAAATCTTTTACAATATATGATCTAAAACAAGGTGTTTAAACAATGCTTCCTTCTTTAGCTGCAGCAGATTTTCATTCTCATTTCCCTATTTTGTGGTGCTTGGACGTGCACTGAGAAGTTGGTTTTTTTCCCTATTGTACAAGGTTTTTACTTGAAGTAGTTTCTTACACCTTAAAACAGCACATATCGGTTTTGGTACCAATATAACATTTTCTTCTCAAAATATTTAAGGATATGATATTTAACCTAGTTTTCAAAATACAGAATTCCTTTTTACATTTTCTTGGCTGACATGTAATGGTTCTGATGCATCTTTTCTGGGTATGCCGATCCTGTCATATACAGTAATATGAAATAATGACACAAGGTTGACTTAACTAGACATAATAGGGCATATTTCTAAAACATTCTGTATGGGAGGTATATGCACACATCTTCCTACTTGTTAATGAAATTGGAGAAGTTCCCCATCTGCACGACGACATATATTTATAACAGCCTCCTACTCCAAAGGAGTAGAACCCTTACATAACAAAATAATAAAAATAAAAAAGAAAGGACCCCCCACAACACTGTTTCAGATAAATTTCAGAACTTCACTATGCAGTGGAAAATATAACCACATTGAATTTGGAGCAACGGACAACTATCTTTGCATCTAAACCCAATGTGTGGATGTGAAGTATGTGTGTGCTCACATGAATAGAACAATAGCAGGACAAATTTCAGTAGCAAGGTGCTTTGTTTGAAACCTTTTCAGGGGTTTATCTGCTGTCTGTGCTGTTTAAGTCTTTATTTCCTATTTTTGAACTAAAAATCAGTGTTTGAAGTCTTTTGTCTTTTTCCACAAATGTTACCTGTGAGTGTATTAGAGAAGCTCTAAACTATCCGAGAACGTACGCTATCTTTTTTGTAGAATCTGAAAGATTAGAGATGGAAAAGCCTAAATTTTTTCATTGTCTTATCACATTATATTTTTTCTTTAAAAAGTGGTGGACAGGAATTGGTTATAGCCTCCTATTTTCCTGTGTTTTTTTCATGTTTCTGTTAAGAGTCACTCTTGTTTTGGGTCAAAATATTTTGTGGACAGCTGACAGTGAAAAGGTTACCACATTACATCGACCTACTAACAACTCTTAAACGCTGGCTTTTCCCTATAAATCAATGGCCTTATGCACACAAACCCAGCTTATCAGGATCACAACGTTTTACTCAAGGCTGGGGCTGTACTTAAAAGCCAAAGGCTTGTCTGTGCTCCTTTGGCAGACAGAGGGTTTTTACAGGGAATGTCAAAAGTGCTGATGCAGGCACAACTTGGTCCAAAAAGAAAATAGAAGAGATTAAGAGGTGTTGCATTCAGGTGTCCAATTTTTAGCCTTCCTCTTCTACTCTTGCTATTGTTGAGGACACAAGCTCTGCTTTGAGTATAGCTGTGCTACCTGAAGAGATCATCTGCAGCTGCTTTTTCATGCAGGAGCAGCTCTCACAGGAGCTCTGCCTCACCCGTTTTGGGATGAGTGGCAAATACCTTCTGTTCCAGCCGTTCAAGCTTTGCAGGGCCGTTTTAACCAAAACCAGGTGAGAAAGCATTCACATGAGCAACTCCACTAGCATCTCTGAGCACAGTCATCTTTGAGAGAAGGGTGTGAGGACAGGTGTGGGTGATGCTGTTATTCCTTCATCCAGCACAGCTGCAACTAAAGTGGATTTCTGCTCTGTGTCTGTCTGTCTGGTTTAAAGGTTTCTTTTGAAGTCCTGTGTTTTTTATTTGACTGCAAATGTTGTGAATGGTAAGACAGATCTTCAAGGTGAGAGCCCTCAAAGTTGGCTAAAAGGTTGGGGATGACACATGGACTTTAACACGCTCATTTTAATCCAAGGTGAAAAATGATGTAAGAAATGTATGCTGTGAGAATGCACAAGGAAGCAACACTTAGAGACTACTTCTACATTAGCAGGAGTACAGGACAATAGGAACAGATCTGTAGGGGAAAACAGCTGGTGTTGAAAGTCTGGCATCCATGACACATAGGTTGTGGGGGGTTACTTCAGACTAGTTGTAATCTGGTCCTGTGGGCTTAATGCATTGAGATGCTGGAGTAAAATAGGTTTATTCCTGGAATAAACCCTCAGCAATAAATTGGAATATTCTTCCAGCTCGTGTCAGCTAAGGAATCCAGTGAATATCCCCCAGCACTGCCGCGAAGTGAAGAAGAAAGCAGA